CAGGCCAGCTGTCCAACTATCTTAGGTTAAATCATTTGTTTCACAACCTTTTTGACCCCTACTCCCCAGCTTATTAGTGAAACAGAATGCTCACAGTGCTTGGCTAAAGAGAGAGTGTCACTGTTTCTGAATTCATCTGAATTCTGCATTCAGATAATTCTTTGTCATATGTTTGGGCATGAAATTTCAACACTTGTTATTTCAAAGAACTTCTACTGTAATTTTGAATCAATATGCTGGCCAAGGAGGTGCTGAACAATCACCTGTTCTTGAGATTGAGAGCACATTCCACTTTTAATAGTCATAATATCTCTAAATGTGAGGAAGAATGGATAGCATGTGAGTTTCCTAGGGTGCGGTGGCAAATTATCACAAATTTAGTGGCTTAAACCAGCAGAATTCTTTTCCATCACAGTTTCAGAAGCTAGAAATCTGAAATTAAAATGTCCCCAGGGCCTTGCTCCATCTGAGACTCTAGGCAGAAGCCTTCCTTGCCTTCCTTCTAGTCGTGGCTGTTGATACTTGGTGTTCCTTAGCTTACAACTGCAAAGCTTGCAATCAAAAATCTGCCTCTGTCATCACATTGTGTTCTTCCTGTGTCTCCCTTCAACATGGCGTTTCCTTCTTCTTATGTGGACACCAGTCATATCAGATGAGGGCCATCCTAAGAACTCACCTTAACTTGTTTACATCTGCAAAGACCCAACTTCTAAAATGGGTCACAAGTACCAAAGGTTAGGACTTGAACATATCTTTTGGGGTGATACAGTTTAATCCATAAGATAGTTACCAATAATTGGCACTTTTCCTTTTATTATGATTAATTGTATATGGATGATACCATTTTATTTAGATTGTAAACTTCTTAGGGCTATGCGTTGAAGTAAAGGAAATCCTTCTTTGGTAAATCCATAGTTGTTGTTAGAATCACTAATTTTACTTACTATCATACTGAGACATTTTTTCTCTGTCTTTTCTTCTGGATTCTGATCTCTGTGAGGGCAGGGGTCATATGTGGTTCATCTTTATAGCACAGTTTGGGGGCGGGGGGCAGTATGGCACAGTGGTTAACCCTGTTATCTTTGGAAATGAGTACTCTGGATTCTAATCCTGGCTGTCACAGGTATTAGCTGTGTAACATTCGGCAAGTGTGTTGGCCTCCGTATCCTCAACTGGGAAATAATGATAAATATAATACTATACTCATTGTTTTATGAGGCTAAATGATTTAGCACATTGCTTAGCTGTTACTATGACTGTATTCTCAGTAAGTACTTACGGAATTGAATTGAAGGAGACCAAGCAGTCTAGTCATAGTTCTGCCATTTAATTACTCTGTCTCTTTGGCAAGTCTTAAATTTTCTAGGCCTCATTTTTTTTTTATCTGAAAATTAAGGGACTTAGACTAGATGGTTCTGAGGTTCCTTCCAGTCTAACATTCTGTGAATTTGGTTAGCGTCTTTTCAAGGAGATATATATATCTGTGTGTGTGTGTGTGTGTATAAATATATATATATTTATATATATATACTCTCTAACAAATACTATGGATTTATCAAAGAGGGATGTATTATTGTTGGTTTCTCTCCTGTGCTTACTACCTTCTGCTATATCTGGCTTTATTATTTTAATTTAATAAATTTAAGAAATATTTACTGATGTCCATTGTTAGGCTCTGTGCTAGGTTAGGAACACACAGAAATGACTAATATACTATTCTTCTCTGAGTTACGTTTGAATCTCAAATAAATTGAGATTTTTATATCTTTTTTTGAAATTTTAAGTAGACAGGGATTGAAAGAAAACAGAAGATTCTGATATTCTAAGAAGTTACCTTTTTGCTCTTCTGTACTTCTTTCTTGCACGTGCACACACACACGCACAAACACACCTACCTTTCTAGACCTGAAACAAAAATGGAGAAGGTGAGAAGCAATCCATTAAGTTGCTTCCTGCTGGCCCTACTCTGCTGATTCTCTTGCTATTGTCAAAGGCAAGTCCTCTACAGGTGGCAGGGCCAGTCCAGGCAGCTCTGGGTGGTGAGCAGATTGGAGGGATGCCTAACTAGGGAACCCCAAAGTGAAAGCTCTCCTTAGAGCTCTTCCATTTGGATGCGACTTGTTTAACACCTTTATCCATTCAATTGGGAATATTTGGGACCTCTCTAGTAGATAATATTTGAGCTGAGATTTGAAGAGAGAGAGAAACAGACAGACAGAGAGAACAAGACAAATGAAGATTGATGGCAGGGTTGGGGAGCAGTGTTTCAAGCAGAGGGAATAGTGAGTGCAAAGGCCCTGAGGAGAAATTGTTTTCTGTTGGAGGGTTAGGAAGAAGGCCAGTGTGACCAGAATGTGGTATGATATGACATCATAAGTTCTACTAGAATATAAGGAACTCAAACGACAGGCTAAAAAGTTTGGATTTTATTTTAAGGCCAGGGGAAATTACCTAGATCTCAAACATGTATTTTGTTGTTCCAAGCATTACACAAAATTCCAGTCCCACAACAGTTTTCTTGCTTTCTAAGAAGTTACTTTCTAAAGCCCTAAAGCCCTTCCCAATACTGTGGGGTAACACTGTCCATGCCCATTGAGCAAGTTAAGTAAAAGCTGAGCCCTGACGGTGACACAGCGTATTAATTAAGGGAAGAGGAAGGAACACTGTCACTTGTTTACCCTGAATTTTGATAAAAGATTTGGATTTTGAAATGGAGCTGTGTAAATGTGGTTGGAAGGGTGGAGGTAATAAATGACGAACGAGAACTGAATTAGGCAGTTGAGAACTGCCATTTGAGAAATGTGGGTTTCAGCAGGACAAACCAATGCCCTTTGCTTCCATGAAAATTAGTGGCCTGTGATTGTGTTACTCTCCTTTACTATTTTGTGGAAACTCCAGTAGTCTTTTTTGAAGAGAAAATTTACTTGGTTGAAAAAAATGATAAAGAAACATGGAAGAATTACCGAACAGGATGAAAAAAAACCTCATTAAGCAAAATAAAGTTTTAACCTATAAACAAATGTCAAGTGTCCAGTGGATAGACTAATAATTCCTCATCAGTAAGCATAAACAGTATGAAGACCTAGAAAATCATGAAATATTATCAACAAAATGTGATAGGTTTTTTAAAATTTTCTGTGAATTATTGATATTTTTAAAGTTGACCAACTAATATATGAATGCATACTTATTATAAAAGCTTCAAACCACATACAGAATAAATTTTGAAAGTCTTCCTTTACAACCCTCCCCACTTTCTCCCTCAATTTCTTCTCCAGAGGTAACAGATTAGTATATACAAACCTTCTTCAACTTGTGATGGGTTCCACCCCAATAGACCCACTGTAAATTAAAAATACTGTAAGTTGAAATGCATCTACCTTACTTAACATCATAGCTAAGCCCAGCCTACCTTAAATATGCTCAGAATATTTACATTAGCCTACAGTTGGGCAAAATCATCCAACACAAAGCCTATTTCATTTATAGAGTCAAATACCTCATGTAATTTATTGAATAATGTACTGAAAGTGAGTGAGCACAGAATGATGAAGTGTACCGGTGGTTTTCCCTTGTAATTGTGTGGATGACTGGGAGCTGTGGCTGCCGCTGCCCTGCCCAGCATCACAAGAGAGTACACTCCTAGCCTGAAAAAAGGCTGAAAGTCACAATTCGAAATTTACTGAATTGTTGAATGCTGTTGCTTTCATCATAAAGTCAAAAAATCCTGTCAGACCATCATAAGTAGGGCACTATCCTTATCTGTTGTAATCTTTTTTATGTCTATATATGTTAGTGTATGTATAGATTTGTGATCTTTAAGAAAAAGGAATAAATAGGATAATGTGCACATTGTTCTTCTATCTTTTCTCTTACTTTGTCTTAAAGATCTTTGTGCATATAAATGTTTATTTTATACTTTCTAATGGGTGCAAAGTTTTCCATTGGAGTAAATTATCATAAAGTATTTAGCTACTTCTAAACTGACATACATTTAAAACTCCCACTTTTCACAATTACAAATAACGTCACAAGGAATAGTCTTGTTTTCTGTACTTGTAAGAATACTTCTGTAGGGTACATTCTTAAAAGTAGAATTCCTGGTGTGCATGTTTCATATTTCATACTGTCAAACTACCCTACTAATATAGTTTTATTGATTTATAGTTCTACAAAGTGCCAAGAGCTCATTTATTTGTAACTTCACCAATACTGGATATCACTAATTTTTGCTTTTCTATTCATTTTTTGGTGGGCAAAAATTAGTATCTAACTATTGTTTCAAGTTTTACTTTCTTGACTGCTAAAAAGTTTGAACATCCTTTAATAAGTATATTAATGATTTGTGCTGCTTCTGTAAATTATCCATTAATGGCCTTTGCTCATTAAAGAATACTTCTCTTCAAAGCACAATTTAAAGTTTTTTTTATGTATTATGGCCTTTAATAAAATGTGTATCACAAATAATTTCTTGCTGTCACTTAGCTTTAACCCATGTACATTATAGCTTTCACTGAACAGAAGTTTTTAATATTTATATTACTAATGCTCTCTAGACTTTTCTTTATTGTTAGGAAAACCATTCATAATCTAATCTTACTAAATAGTCTGTTTTCTGCTACTATTTTAATTTTAAAGTTAATTTTACATTTAACTCCCTAAGTCATCTGGAATTTACTATTATAATTAATGAAAAACTATGATTTAATTGTTTCCACATGAATATCAACCTCATTATTGAAGGGATTATTCTTCTCTTAATGAATTAAAATGACTTCATGGTATAATACATTTCTGAATATGCATGGATTTGTTTTGGGATTCTCTATTCATTTGATAATATTTAATTTGTCAATATTCTTTTCATTGATTTATTCTATTTGACCCTATAGTTCTAGCTGTTGTAATTTTTCCTGATACCCAAGTAGGATAATTTTCTCAAGGACCATCCTTACCCCTATCCCTAACCATTATTATTTCAACTTCTTCTTAATTAGTCTTTGCAACTTTCTCTTTCAGACGAGTGTAAGAATGTGTGTCAAATTTTATAAACAAGCAAGCAAACAAAATCCTGCGTGGATTTTGACTTGCAGTACGTTGACTATTTTAGAAAATTGGAGCATAATAGAAATTTCACAAGAAGGACTCTTCTCATATGGAGACACGGTATTTTCCCTTACTTTATAACGTTCTTCATAAAATCTTAGAAATGCTTACTAAAGTCCATTCTTGTTTTATGACTTTTTGGCAATTTTTTGAATGTTTCTCTCTTCCAGTATTACAAGTTCATATCATCCACTGCTACTGTTTGAGAAATCTCTTTCTTTTTTGTATGTTATCCCTCGAGTCCTACCTTTAGGAAAACTGTCCTACTAAGTCTGTTCTTCAGTAGATTGTCTTGGATATTCTAGTTATGCAGCCATATCATCAAGAAACCTTACAGTTTTGTCTCTTTCTTTACAAATTCTGTTCCTCCTATCTGAGATATGAAGTACAACAGTGATGAGTGAACTGCTGTCCTCAAATAATAGTATTGATTTAAGTCATGTGCCTTATAGCCTGGAGATGTTTTCAGAATCTCTCTCTCTCTCTCTCTCTCTCTCTCTATCACACACACATATTACATATACGTCTTTATAATTGACCCTATTCTTCAGTTGTCAAAGTCTCTATCACTCCCTTTTGTTTTACGCATTTATATTATATTATTTTACCTGACGGAACCCTGAAGGCATATGTTTGTAATCCCTGATTTAGATCTTTACAGGTTTTTGGAGACATCATTTTGTTCATGCCACAATCCAGTTCCAGTGGTAATGAATCATAATTATAGTTTAAAAAATTTCTGAGGTGGCTGCATCTCTGGAGGCACTGTGAACTCAGAAGATTTTACTATTTACATTTGGCAGGTTCTGCATGAGCTTAATTCACCTTGACTTCCATTTTAGTTTAAAGACTTTCTGACTCTATGAAATTCTACTATTGACCTTCCAAAAGATTTCAAAAATGACAAGTTGACATTTTATACTATGCAAAACTTCTCATTTTGATTTTTGTTGTGAATCTTCCTTCTACTTCCATCCCCTGCTCCTCCTCTGAAACCAATTCTCTTAAAACCACATGTCCCAACCCCCGCCTATAAAAGCATCTGTGATCTTGGGTACTTCACACTGGTGCCCTTGGCCCCCATGCACAGGATCAGCTGCAGGCACATTCTTGTGCCACCTTGGTTTGTCTATTACTTTCATGCCCTCTCCATTCCTCTTCTGGGACTACTTGCTGATGCTGCAATAAAGTCCAGTCTCAGATACAGCCAAATCTGTGCTCTAAATGTGCTGGTCTTCCCTCCCATTGTTCTTTGTAAAGATGATGGATAATTTTAGTGAGGACAAAGTAGTAGAAGGGGAAGCCAGGAATGCTGAATGGTCACAGCCCAAGTGGCAGATAAAATGTCTTTTTGATGAACATTAGTGAGCTAGGGTATACTCTGGGGAAAGTACATTACAGGGACTTTGTGAGAAAACATTATGACTGGACCCTGTAAGTCATGCTTATGTTCACAAGGACTCAATGTCCACATATCCTGACCTTTACATTGCACTGCCCATATTAAGTAGGAGAGTACCTGGCACACAAATGGCAGAACTTGAAGTTTTTTCTTTTTTCCTTTAAAAAAAAAAAGCAGATGATATTTTGAGCACAACTTGCTATAGAACATGAAAGTGTAAAAGTTCTGGCTGTTTGAAGGAGAAAAGAAAAATAAGTCAATTTGTTTTAATGGTAAAATTAGCTTTAGGTTCTCTCAGGGGCTTAAAGAAAAAAAAGCATTGAAAAATGGGAGTGAACTGCAAGATAGGGTTTGTGTAAGGAGGACCTCAAACCACAGAAGTCACATGGGCTCTTTCTGCTTTGCTGCTTTTGATTCCTTGTCAGAAGGTTATACTTTGAGCTTCCCCCATCCTGCAAGGCCACTCAACCATGTGCTAGCTGGAGTAATCTTTGTTCACAATGTCTCTACAAAGGCTCGTGCAGCAGAGCAGCAATGGCAGTTTTGTGGAGTACTGTGCTGGTCCAGCGTATGCCTCTTACTCCACACTCACAGGCAGCTTTCCCATGGATGATAACAGAAGGCTGCAAATGCTGGCAGACACTGTGGCTACTTTGCCTCGGGGAAGAAAGCAGGTATGATTGCTACTTTGTACCTTTCAGAGTGTTCATGTTCTCTTGAGAGCAGAGTGATATGCTTGTCTGACTTCATATTAAAAATGCTATGTTAGAGGCTTTGGAATTAGTGGCTCAGAGTATAGAATAGGAAGGAGGCGAGGAGCCCAGAGAGCTCATGGACTAGACCTTATATCTTAATTTTAAGGTTTAAGACCATGAAAAAACAGTTTTTAAGGAAGAACTTGAAAGAAGATTGTTTTCCTCAGTTGAAGAGGTGTTCGGGTAAAATGATACTCATTAAGCACGTCAAACTTGCAGGTGGTGTATGTAGATACAACGGGTTTGAGAACTGTTGATCTGTTTTCCTGCATGTCTCCCATTGATTCCTTCTCTCCCAGCCTCTCTCCCAGTCCTTGATAGTCATTTCAGTTCATAATCCATGGAGAACACTTTTTTTTAGAACAAATTTTGTTGCTTAAATTATCTTCAGTTCCGGGGCACTGGCACATACCTCACGGTATTGGGAATTAAGACTTTTATTGAATAAATGAGCGCAAGATTGGCCACTTACTAGCTGTGGAATCTTGAGTAAGTCACCTGCTTCTCTAAGATTCAGTTTTCTTTTTTTTTTCTTAAATGAAGATAATAATAGAACTACCCTATGGGGCTCTTCTGTGGCTTAAGGGAGGAAATGTACAGTGACTGACATGTAGTATGTGCTCAATAATTATGCTGTTATTTTAATTTTTATTGCAAAGTATTTCCATAGAGAGGAAAACTCTTTTGGAAAACTCCATGTCCAGCGGGATTTATTGTTAATTTTTTAATTTTTCAATTTCTAATTAGTAAAAGAAAAAAAATTAAACCAAAACATCTCTGCAGATTTTGGTTAAATAACTTGCTATAATGCCCCAAATACATATCTGAATTTAGATATAGCACTCACACAGAAAATATTTAGGATTGCTAAAAAGCATGATTTTTTTTTTTGCCTTTAAATCTTGCATGTACATCATGTGTTCCTGTTAAGCCTTCTAATTTCAGTATTAGAGAGTTATAGCATAGTGGGAGAGTCAGGATCTTTTTTCAGTGAGGTACATAGCTGATTCCATGGTATTTTTCACAATGAAGATAAGGGCATAATTTACCGTGGTTTGAATGATTGATCTTTTTCAGTCCAAAAGTGCTTTTATGACATTAAGTTTAATATAATGATGAACATTCCTATCAATTTATACTGTCTGAAAATAAAGCAACTATGAGGAATACCAAAATCTTTATTCACTTTTTCAGATATAGAGCAGTGTACGGTGTACAAAGATGAGAAGGACTCATTTCCTGGCCTTAGAGGGTTTACAATTCAGTAGGCAGAACAAACATAAAGTAACATACGTGCCCTAATCCAAGTACATGTCTTTGACCCTTGAAGGATAGATATTCCAAACATTGAAGGGTACTCCAGAGCAAGGGACTGATTAAAATGCTGAGGCACAAATCTTGGGGTCTTAGGGCAGTTTAAGTAACAGCACACTAGTGTGTTAGGTAGACCTGATGAGTGTCTGTGTGGAGGGGAAGGGAGACCTCAGAGCTGGGCTGCTTTACACAACACCTGAACACTTCCCCTGCGGGAGCAGTAATTGACCAGCACAGGGAACCAACTGATCATTTTTGAGTGGAAGGTTTTAGGAACCTTACTCTAGAAACATGCCTGTCAGTAAGTGGGCAAAGTCAGTAAGTCACTAGTGGTGAGGGAGCAAATTTTGCAGTAGTTGGAGAAAGAGGAACCCAGGGAATGGGGAAGAGACACGAAGACTTGACTATGAAAGGCAATGAAGAAGGAGTCACATCACCTTCTAAGCCTGAGTGAAGACAGCGTGAGCTGAAAAGAGGCAAACTGGAGGAGATTACTGGAGGAAGATAATCATCGGGATTTAGGCAAATGAGATGCACATGTGTGTATATGTATAATATGTATAATACATGTACACATACAACATTCCCACACCAGTTATTTTATTCATATGTTCTCATCTTTCTCAGGTTTTCTCTTCTCCCTTTTCTCACATTCTTCCCCATGGTAACACTTTCCTATTCAAACAGCTTTTTCTTACTGCTGTGAGAATTACTTTAAGAAAAAAAAAAGGCAAAACAAAACCTGTTGTATGTGATACATATGATTCTGTACAGTTATCATCAATGAGATGATGCAAGTTTACCCCAACGGTTCAGAATTCTCCAAATGGATGTTCATTTCCTTTAACTGGTTTTTAGAGAGTAATCATCCATTTGCCACTGACTGAATTGCAGGCAACGAGATCCCTGTGAGCAATCCCACAAGCAGGTGTTTCTCTGCCCACTGTTATTTTCAACCCTTTCAGGGCTGACGTCAACAATTCATACTTCTTGTTATCGTTGGCTTTGGTTTCTGCAAAGCTGGTTAGCCTGTAATTTCAGATTAATCTTCAGAATCATTTGGGTGTTTACACTTAAAATTGTTTAAAAATAGATTTTGGTATCTGAGGACCTGAATTTATAGGAGGTGACACACCCACCAGTACCACTCCTACTTCTGAACATAGTTTTAGAAAAAAAAAAATCCCTACAATGGGAAAATGCTGTATGAAGGAGACAGGAGGAAGTAAGGGTTTCTTGATAAATTTTGTGATGCTAAGGAGTAGCCACTGGACCTTATTCCCATTCTCCCAAGGTAAGTAGGTTGCCTTTGGGAAGTAGTTTTCTCTGAAAGCTATAGCGAGAACCTGACAAACAGACATTTGCATGTGCATTAGTGAGACCACAAACGGAATCTCTTAGCCTGGGGGTGTTTGTTTATTTGTTTTCAAATTATTACTAAATAGACAACTTCTGGAAGAGTGGTTTCATTAATAAGTTCAGATACAGAATATTGTACTAAGCTCTGTAATGTATGTATTTCTGGCATGGGTTCTGCCCTTCAGGAGCTTTCACATTATTTCTGGCCACACATCCATCTGTTACCAAAACTCCCAAGTGTTCCTAATGGCAACAAGATGTTTTGATTATTGAATGAATACGTTCAGTAGAAAACTGCTAATTTCACTATAAATAGAATTTGAAAAGTATTCTCTAATGCATAATGTGGAATATTTGGAATCAATACTTAACAATTTTTCTTGAAAAAGAAGTTCGTGAGTCCACAAGGAGACTTTTCTGGGAAGGTGCAACATTCTATTTGGGATACTTAAAGGCACCTATAAATTAGGAAATTGAGAAATAATTTTGTGGAGCCCTGGTATGCTAAAACTCCTGGCTTAAAAGTGGGGTGGAAAGGCTGTATTCATCAGAGAACTGGAGAGGATGAGGTAGGGGACTAGAAACGGAGCAGAGCACATAATTTGGGGACTTTTGAAACAAACAACAAAAACAAAGTATCTCACCTGCCAACTCCCCTCCCCCAACCCTCAACACTTTCAGGAAATGAGTAGACAGTGGGGACCAGGAAGTAACAGGCTGTTACTTAGCAGCAGAAGTGGCTACAGTATTGAGCTTTGAGCTCCTCTGAGCGGCAAGGTATCTAGCTCAGCTGCAGATTTCTCCTATGTTTTGCAAACTGACAGCTGAAGTATTTTGGTTTCCCACTAAGGGGGACATTGTGAATCACTGCATAGCAACACAAATTCCTTTTTTAATATTAACGTGTGAACTTTTAAGCCTTCTGACTGAAAACAAGAGGCAAGATCGTAAGCCCAACCCCAGGCATTTTTCTGTTAGAGCTAGCAAGGGGTTAAGGAGCTTTGTCTACTCAGCAGTCATAATTGAATGTGTAGTTTGCAGTCCTGCCAAATTGCTAAACCTAGATTTCTCATATTAGATAATGTGTAATAAAAGACAGCTGTTGCCAGCATATGCTGTTCGTTGCACAGCAGCTCCTCATTCATGAGTTTTAGTACCATCCCTGCAGCCCTGAGATCTGGCTGGAAGGGCAGTCTAGGGAGCAGAGACTCCACTGGGCAGGTCCTAGAAGAACGCTGCTTACTCTAGGGGAAAGGCTGCAGGGAAAACTTTTTCTAAAGTCTAAGACCTTTGTTAAGACCTCAGATGTTCTTTTCAGTTAGGCAGATAGTTTGGTGTGCAAGCAAGGTCAAACCCTGAGAATGTTCCTTTCCACATCGCCTGAGTCTGACAGCCCAGATCAAGAACAAGTAGGCATTATGTCAAGATGTGGCACGTGTCAGAGAATTTGATGGCACCTAATTTATTTAAATTGTTTTTTATTTAAACGTTAGGTGCCTATGACAGGCTCATTGCTAATCCAGAGTGGAACCTAGTTTATAATTTGCCTTAGTCTGATTTGTGTGTATGTGTCACTGATGAACCGGATCAGTCAGGCCACAGGAACTGAGTATCTGCTCTGCATCTCGCATGGTGCTAGGTGGGTATTTCCATTTTCATCTAGTTAATTAGCTAGATAGGAGTGTTAGCAAGAGAGAGGTGGGGAAATTTCCTTCTCTACAGAGCTCTTGGATTTGTCTTGTGGACTTAAACGATTTTACATTTGATCTTTCTAGAAAGATTTTTGATTTGGAAGGCAGGTTAATGGTGGACAAGATGAAATCTTGAGGTTCCCATCAATGCTACAATTACTTGCTTAGCAAAAGGGTATTTAAAATGGCCAAGGAAAGCCTCAAAATTTTGGTGATTCATTAATTCTTGCTACCATTCATTCATTTAGCAGTTGTGTATTAAGGCATGACTAACTTACTTTGTTTTCTGTTAGTCCTTTTTTTAGGACTGAGTTTTAGGATTGAGTTTCTTGCTGTTTTAGGATTGAATTTTTTGTTGTTGTTGTTGTTTGTTTTCTTTCATTTTTAATTTTCTTTTATATATTTAAATGGCTACCCTTGAGGGTTTTTTAATGAATATGTAATGACAGGCAGAGTTGAGGACTCTTTTACTTTGGATCTCCCACTACCACTTACTTGCTTGAACTGTTGTCTAGCAGTTTACTTCTTTTTGCCTATTTAGTTGTTCTCAAGTTTCCGCTGTGTTTCAGACCCTGTGCTGGGCACTGGGGTAGAAAGTAAAACAGATGCATTCCCCAAGAGGCCCAAAGATACAGATAATTGTGAACAGAAGTGAGGTATTTAATCCTGTGTCCTTCATATAAATACATATATATGCCTCCATGTGTATGAATATGTGCATAATCTGATGACTATTGATAGCAAGAGTAGTATTTTAAAATATAAACCCAAATTATGACTTACAGATAGACCTACCTAAATACTTCATAATCTGCAGTAAGGGTAAAAGTCAAGCAAACGCAAATATGAATTTAAAACTAGATTAAGAAAATGTGAGTACAATATAAGGAAGAGACTGAGAATGCTTGGGCAGATCAAGTTCACTGACCTCTTTCACAGGAAGGCAGTCCACTGCAGAGCTGAGTGGTCCCCGCCCTTGTTGACGGTTCTTAGTGGGACAAAATCAGGCTGAAACAACCCATGAAAACTGTTACAAGCCGTCTACAGTAAGTCCTTACAAACTGAGCATAGATACTTTTTAGTAAATATAGAGAAGGAGTTTTTTGGCTCTGAGCCTTCCTATGGCAGACTTCAAGATGATATAAATGATTTGAACTCCAGAACTGACAAGAGAGGGAAATGTAATCAATTTACATCAAATCATTAGGAAGAGATCAGCTCTTCATTACATTAGCATTACTGACCACTGGCCAAATTATCAACACTGAGCCATTCCAGAAAACGTGTGAGAATGCTGGCCTTTAGTATGCAGTACTTCACACTTCCCACTCGATGATGTAGTCTTCTCCCCTAATAAATGCCTTAACGAAGATCTCATTTGTGCATTAATTTCCTCTATGTGTTTTTCTCCTTGGGGCTCTCATCCCATATTTTATTTTTATTTGTTTGTACTGACTTTGCATTTATGTCCTGACATTTTCTGTCTTCACTGATATATGACAAGCATAATGGGTTGCCAGTTAAACACCATGGGTTAGCTAGTAGCATGAGCTTTGGAGCCCTGGACCAACACTTGAGAAAGAGCTAATTAACATTTGTTAATTCCTAAGCAAATAACCTAAACAAAACCCACACAAAAACTCACTTCAATTACCTTTAAAACAAGATGCCACCTTTGTTAACTTTTCCTTTGTTTATAATGGTAGAATGTGTCCAGGAAGCTTATGTTTATATGAGCTTTTCCCCAAAACATGGCAGAGGACTGAAGGTGATGTTATACAATTTACACCATTCTGAGGTTCCTTTCCTGTTTTGGCTGGAATCTCACTGCACTTTTTAAAAATTATTGCAAAAATAAATCATAAATAAATTGGGGTTTTGAGTCCCTGGTTTCACCTGAATTGTGCTTCTGGATATTTGTTGGTTCTTCAGAGGTGATTTTATCCTGCTGAAAACAGTAACATATTCAAGTATGACAATAAACACAGTCATTTCATTAGCATCTCCAACAACTACCAAGTATTTGGGTTTTATATGCCATTCTATGGGTGCTATTTTTCTTTGGATTTCAGTGTGATTATAAATTGCTGTGGTTAACCTTTCAGAGGCTATTTTAAATACAGATTAGATATGAAGTTCTTTTGGAAGCTTTGGAGTTTTGCCACATTACATTAACTCTTTTGCCATAGGGTGTTATTATCGGACCCTCTTGTAATCTTTCAAATGAAATGCCTGAATGGTCCTTTCCTCAGCTCGCCTTTGCTATCGCTAACGAATAGAAATTACTGCCTTTTTGTAACAATTTCCCAGGAGCTGGGCCAAAGAAGGTGATAAAGAACAAAGTCCTTTGTGATTTAGAACATTTTACAGATGTGTCTCAAGGACCTCTTGATAACTGTGTGCTTGTGTTTTTCAGCTTGCTCTGACGAGATCAAGTTCTTTAGGTGACTTTTCCTGGTCTCAAAGGTAAAGAGATTCATTTATTTTTAGGTCTCTCACCAAGATATTTAGGAATACAGCTTTCTAGGCTGTTTGTTGGTTAACACACACACACACACACACACACACACACACACACACACAGTCATACATACAACAATTTACATAAATGTCAGCTACTTTTAATTGACAGTTATTTTTAATAATAGGTATGTGCCAAATGTGATACTTTGATTTTCATGCGTAGTTTTTTGTTTTTTGTTTTGTTTTTTGATTACAGAAAGCTTGTTACTGTGGAAAAGCAGGATAATGGAACATTTGGATTTGAAATTCAGGTGAGCAGTTTTCAAATTTTCAAACTTCTAATGAAGAAAGTGGCACTGGTAATGTCATGGTATTTGCAGAGAAAGAATGAAGTCAGGATTAGAGAATGATGAAGGCCGTGACTTGTCTTCAGTGTGTGGCTGTTTTTGGTGGTTTTTCAGTGTGTTGGGTACCATCAAGGAAAGAAAACATGCAAGTGGATAAAATCAACCCTTTAGACATACTCAGCTCCTTGCTCTTAATTGCTTTCGTCTTCCTGTAGGTCTGAGACTGATCAGAAATGCTTGCTATCAGCCAGCTCATAAATAAGAGAGTGAAATACTTTTTATAATGTGCATTTTATATATTTGCATTACTGATGTGTTTTGCATAATCATTTTTATACTGTATATCAGATTCTAAATCTATACTTCTGTATTCAGAAATACTTGAAAACATATATACTTGTGTATGTGGACTGCATGTATTCATGTATAGTTCCTGATACATTTGGAAAATACTAAAATTCTTATACTGGGTATAATGAGAAATTTGTACTTTTCTTCCTTAATGACATTTTATAATTATTATTTGAAACACTTAAGAACATTTGACTCTACTTGCTTATTGCCTCATGCTCTAGGAAAATTTCAACAGTCTTTATGGGTTTCTATTTAATAGCCTAAGAATTTCATTTCTTATTTGCTGTCTGGTTTTTCATGGCCATATTTGTAAAGATGGTGAGTTAGGTCAAATGAAGTCTAGTCCAATCAAGTGAAACAGAAGTAGCTTAAGTATTGCTGTGTTCTTTTTCCATTACACTTCTGCATTTCTTTTAGATGTGTTTTGCATAATCAGATTCTTATACTGCACATCAGGTTTTAATATCTGAACTTTGGTGCTGCCTTCAGAAAACTTTGGTAACTAGACAGCCCTGCAACTGAAAAGTCTGTGTTTTAAGATTAGGAACAGGAAGTTGCTTTGTAAAATGTGCTTTATGAATAAAGAAACAAAATGGAACTCTAGCTACAACAAACAGGAAGAAGGCTCTAGGAGAAAAGAAGATACCTTCTACTTTACAAACCCTTCTACTTTTGAATTTGGTGAAAGCTATAATTCTTCTGTCAGGTTTTAGAAGCATAGTATGCTCTCTTATTCCTCATTCACATGAAACACTCCCTATTCTGTTGTAGAGACACGGTGCTTTCTGTGACCACTTCTTTTCAAATGAGAGTTATCCATAAGGATATGCAGCAGTTGCTACTGAAAACAAGAGTGGAGGCTACCCATTTATCCTTACTTAACGTGATACATGAGGATTTTTTCCCTCACTTTTCTATGATACATAGCACTGCTTCCGCATGTTTCTCCCTCATACTATAAACACTTACTCTACATGGAGCAAGAGTCAAAACTATCATTAGTAGACAGCAGGCTTCAGTGCCTTGAACCTTTGTGGATCCATGTGAGCTAATGGCTTCACCTCTGAACTGTAGCATGTCTCTGTTATCTTACTAACGCAGGGGTCCTCTCTGCAAATTCCCTCTTGGTGTATGCTTTCCATTACCAGCTCTATGCTATAGAATAGAATAATCTATTCCATAACCTATTCTTTAGTACTCATAAGATTTGCAGTAGTCATCAAATAGGATACATGCTCTAAGAACTTTTTGAAGATCAAATAGAACCTCATGTACCCTTATTGTGCCTCCATTGTTAACAAGTATTTGGGTCCTGGTCTACCAGGTGCAGGGCATGCTGGGAGAGGACAAGTCTGCCTCCTCTGGTCTCCATGGGTGCTATTTCCTGCTGCTATAGAGAGTAATGCTGCGTGACAGGAATGCAGACCTTAGATTCACGTACACCCGAGTTCACGTTTCAGTGCTACCTTATGGGGATCTTAGGCGCTCCAAGTGAAATTAACACATATGAAGTACTTAGTAATGTGTCTGGTTCCAGTAGATCAGCAAATGACGAGTGCTAGAATGAAGGTCAATTGGGCATGAGAAAGGCAATATGACTTTTGTGTCTCTAGGAAATAACTGAGCTAGAAGACTGGGTAAAAGAAAGGGAGAAATATCTGACTATTTCTTTCCATACTTCTGGAAACTCTGCCTTTCCTTTTCTATGTCTAACCCACAAATTGTACAACTGTTGCAAACATATATGCAGATGCTGTCTGCATCAGTTAACATGTTTACCCTTAACTGCACTCACCTTGCTCCCTGGACACAGAGGGTAGGCTCTCACTGCTAAGAAGAATCGTCGTAATAGTAGTTTCCCAAAGGAATGTCTCTTGTAGCTTTGGTTCTCACACTGCATAAACCAGACCACCCTTCCATGTCTGGAAGGGCCCCGGCAGTGGCAAGAAGACTCCCTGGCAGAAAAGCTATGAAGGGGATCTCTAACACAGATGGAAAGCAGATCACATGATCTCTGAAAATCCCCTCTACCTTTACGATACAGGGAGTCCTCCCAGCGTGAATAGAAATCGCTTAGAGATTAACAAAGTCCAGTTTCTAGAAGTTGCTTGCACGTGACTGACTTCTGGCTCTGCTGGTTCTGGAGCCTGTAAGTCTGTAAAATAAGCAGGAATGAACATGGACATTAATTTCTCCACGAGTAAGCAGTGTTGAACATGGTTTACTTTTAGGAACCAGATGTTTAGAAGACTTACTCAACTCAGCATACTGATTTTTACTCTAAATGGAACTAGACTTCATAAAGAAAAATACAGGTCACTGGGCCACTATATCCAGCAAATATTTGTACAGTGTTCTTGATACAAGTTAAAAAAAAAAAGAAGAAACAAAACAAAAACAAAGACAAACTGCTTTTGCCAAATTGAGGCAACAGGCAAAGCATAACTTTTTCTAATTTAGTCAGGTGGCTAATGAACTAGTGAGTATTCAGGGCAAATGTAGCAGTGAGAGCTCAGAAATGAAGGTGACTGACTCAATTATAGTACTTTTGAATTAATGCAGGACAGATTGTCATTATTTGCAGAACTCTGATTTAAAATAATTATTGTTGGCATAGCTGCCTTGCTGGATGTGTACTGTTTCATACACTCCTGTAATGAATCCTTTAGCTTGGGAAAACCACATAGAGATTTTTCTCTCTGCTCTTGGCCATTTTTATTTCATCCCATTGGGAAAAGAGAAACTGAATTTTTCTTGATAAATATGCAATAATGATAGCATCAAGTGGCCGCTAAGGCTTGAAAGTATAAAATCTTAAGCCAATGTTATCCTACTTTCTTTCTCAAGCCAGATGTGTTTTTATGAATGGGGTCAGCTACCAACTGTGTGGGAGAAGTGCAAGGTTGCAACTTTGATTCAGTTTCTATTCAGGAAAGCCTTTCCTAATTATTCTTTGCACTTATCTATTATACCACTTAAGGTAACTGATACCATTTAATTTTCTGACAAACAGATTTTGAGTTTTTTGAATGATAATTATGTATCCCTTTAATTTTTACAGACTTACAGGCTCCAGAACCAGAACACCTGCTCCTCAGAGATGTGCACTCTGATCTGCAAAATCCAGGAGGATAGCCCAGCGCACTGTGCTGGCCTGCAAACTGGTAACTTACAGTTTTGTTCATGTTAGGAATTATTTAAATAGCAAGGAAAAAAACTTTTCTGATAGTGAAGGTTGAGGGTGATTGTTGCTTTGAATTTCCTTAGCTCCCTTATGTGGCCAAGGTTTGGGGCTTGCTGGCTTTGTTTCATTTGCAGATCAGGAAAGATGATTTAGCCAACTGTTTTAACATCCATTTTTCTTGGCATCTCCCAGGTGATGTCCTTGCAAACATCAATGGTGTGAGCACAGAAGGCTTTACTCACAAACAAGTTGTTGACCTGATCAGATCGTCAGGAAATCTCTTAACGTAACTATCTGGCTGCTTCCTATGGGGCTTCAAAAATGTTACGGTCTCTCATAATGCCTGTTGAGTGAATGAATAGGCTTTTTGTTCAGGATCACAAGGGAGGCAGTGCACCGTAGCTTGGGGATTGGGTATAGAAGTTTTTATCATTTCCTTTTGTTTCTCAAGGTTTCCTCAAACTTGAACATGTTGTCAACATCTAAGTCAGAGGACATCAGTAGCCCAAACATCTGAGTGGGAGGGATAGCATTTAAAAAATTTATTTTTAAGTCAGGTTCAATTAAACTGGCACATATTCTGTTTGGACAGAGAGGAACGGGTCCAATTTCCATAGCTGATATAATCCTGTGGTTAGAACAAACAGAAGGTCAGAAGGGTTGAGTTTTTCCTCTTATACCACCAGCCAATTGTTTTCTCTCCTAGCGTTCTGGTTGGAAGGTTAAAAAAGTCTTGTTCAACCTTCCTGCCCTGCAACACACACACTCACATCTTCTAATACTCCCAGACTACTAATGGAACATTTGTCTCCCCAAGTAGAGATTCGACTGCCATTTCCACCATACCACTGTTAGAATCTAAGAAGGCCTTAGTAATCAGTTAAAAGATGGAATTCACCCATTCATTCAAGTGATACTTACTGAGCAAATACTATGTTTCCAGTTCTGTGGTAGGCTCGGGGGAGATAAATACAAAGATTCTTCTAGTGCTTTATTAATTGTGAAAGGAGATGGGTGAGAAAAGCCTGCAAAAATAAGTAATTTGGTATTTCAATTGATAACTGCTATGAAGAAAGTAGAATACGGAATGGAACAGAACACTGAGTAAGAGGGCTGCAACCTTGGCTTAGGTTTTTAAAGTGTCCTCTTTGAGGAGGTGAACTTTGAGCTGTGAGCAGAATGAAGAGAGGGGATGGTTAGATTAACCCCTGGTGAGAACATTTCAGGGAAAGGGAGAGGTCTCTGAGTTCTCAAAATGGGCTTGGCATATTCAAGGGACAGAAAGAAAGCCAGTGTAATGGGTGGCTGGTGAATTAGGAAAAGTATAATAAAAAAAAAATGAAGACAGAGTTTTTCAGGAAGCAGAGTAGGGCTCTCATCAGCTAGGCTTAATTGTTTATTTACACTTTTTTCCTGCTTCTCTCATTTATTCTTCACAGCTGCCTTATGAGGCTAGTTTTATTCCTATTTATAGACGAAGTGACTCAGGCTGAAATGAGGTTTTTTTTTTTTTTCTTTTAGTTAAGACCAACCAACTAGTAAGTGCCAGGGCTGGGATTTGACCATCTATTCTGGATGCCAGGATCTATTCTCCAGCTACACCACAGCTGCTCCTTGCAAGCTGCCAATAAAAAAATTTGCTGGACATTCTTCAGTGGTTCTAGTCTAAAACTTCAAAGGACCTTTTTTGGGGTGTGTGAGAGTAGTTTTGAGAGATGACTGGTGGTGGAGGACTGAGTCCAACTCCGTCCTGGGAGTTCAGGGTAATGGGTGAGGGCTCCTCTAGCTCCAGAGAAACTTGACTGTATAAGGTAGGAACCATGTAGAGTCCACAAGAACATGCTGGTGGTTAGAATCAGAAACCTATGTTCCAAATAGGTGAAGTGGGCAGAACTCAAGTGGATAATTAAGGAGTATTGGGTGGAGACAATGTGAAATTTAAAGATCAGGAAAATGAAAGACATGGAAGAGAGCAGTCAGCCTATGCCGGCAGTTCTGCCTGCAGATGTCTACTGCTTGGGCAGGGCAGGTCAACAGTAAAGTCCCAAACAGATTCATAGGGATCCTCACTGTGGCCCAGAGTCAAGACGCCCTACTGAGAAAGCAGACAACTTGCTATCATCCCATTATCTTGGGTATAATGCTATTGGAAATAGAGGGAAATTGGGCTCTGCAATTAATACTATTATTTTACCATGTGTTAAAAAAAATTTCTTGCATCTTTTTAAACAGTTACAGCTTATTTATCAGAATGAATTTGAACCGATACTTTAAAAATACTTAGTTGTGTAACTCATACATGAAATTTATCTTATTCAGAATGATTGCTTAGTAGTCCAAATAGATGCCTCTAAACTGAGCCCACAAAACAAATCAAAGCACTCAGGATAGAACAAGTCTTTATTTTTAGAAAGACATTTGGTATAGAGAGAAAGAGCACCACTAAATTGATAATTCTAGGATTAAAGTTTGAATACTTAAAAAGTTTTGAGATCAGAGTCATATGAAAGTTATTATCTCATAGCAGTTCTGGTTCTATTTGTTCTAGTTCCAAAATTAAGCAAACGTACAGAGGTAAAGTTTCCTAGAATCCTAGGGAAGAAAGAATTTTTCCCTGTTTCCAGAAATAGCGGTTGATTTCATTATTTAAAAGTCCCAAGTGCCTGTTGTTTTCACTGCTGTACCCCTCATGCTTAGCGCAGTGTCTAGAGTCTGGCACGTAGTAGATGTCCAATGAATATTCACCAAATGAATGAAGTGATTCAGCTGGACCCCACAGGAACAGGTTCTAGCAGAGAACAACCATCGTTGCCATATAGTGGCTTCTATAAAATGAGCTACAGTTTACAAATTAACCAGAGTATTTTCTTTCAGTCACCCTTTCAAAGGGAGTATTTTTTCCATATTCTTTCTTTGAATGTTGTCAGAAGGTTTGGCTTAGGTCCAGATTCTTGAAGAGCCATGAGAATGGTAACATTAACGTTGCTTTTTGAGGATACTCTGTGCTCCAAGTGTGGTACTCCATGGGGTGATACTTATTTGAAAGAATCACTCATGTCATTTCCCTCCCCCCTCCTTTTTGTCTTAAAACAGGATAGAGACTCTTAATGGAACAATGATTCTCAAAAGAACAGAGCTTGAGGCAAAGCTGCAAGTTTTAAAGGTAATTTAATTTAATACAGTGAGGCACATTTTTCATCCTTGAATGTGTGAATGGTAGAATAAAAACGTAGTTGAAAAATTGAGGTAGCCCTTGAAGATGAAATGTCATGATGAGTCTAAACTGCTGAATTATCAAGAGCTGTACAATTACCTTTGCAGGAATATTAAATTCCACAAACCAGTGCAAATCACTTTCTTCCTTCCTCCTTCTGCGTGTCTATGAGGCTCAGAAAGGGAACAGGAAGGCACATCACCTGAAGAACTTTTCATTAATGCACCTGCGATCTCTTCTGATTTACATTTTGTTTGGAAAAACAAAGGAGGAGGAGCTGGTCTTTTTGCCATTTTCCTAAGAGCTGCATATATGTGTGTACAGAAGGGCCTGGGAATTTTGCTTTTCTATTGTCCTCCTCTGTGTCCCTCCCTTCTGCTTCATTCTTACTACAAAAATCATCTCCCTCTACTCCTGTGTCAGTCCTTGAATCTGCTTTCATCGGCAAATACACTACCAAGTTTGAAGAGGAAATTAAAGTTTCCAGGAGATAGTGCACAGTGCAGGATGTTCCATGAAAATTCTCTGCGTTCTTCGAGAGTCTTAAAAATCTCAGTTTGCTAGACTGGTGAGCTTCTGGCAGGCTATGAAGTCTAGGCCCTCACGCACATCTGAACCATAGCCCTGGAGACCCCTCCTCAGTCCCACTTGACCTCTTTGCATCAGTGCTGCTCCCTGTAGGGCAATGGGGCGGCCAGTCCAGCAGTGATTGTACGGCTGACTACAGGCAGGTTGCTCAATTGGACTTAGTTTAGCAATAGCTGCCATTTATCAGTTTTCTTTCTGGAGTATGCACGTCTTAATTATTGAGCCTAAGAGCGTAGAGTTACTATATTTCTATTTTAAGTTTTATGTTGTATTCTTCCCTTGCCCCATAACTAATTCATCAACAAGCCCTGTTTTCTTCTTTGTCAACATTGGCTTTATATTCTTATCATTTTGCTTATCCTCGTGATTTTTTTGAATCAGTTTATAAAATTCCTTGACAAAAATCCTCTATTCAGATTGTGATAGGAACTGAATTGTATTTATAGAAAACATGAGATCAGTCGACATCTTTATTGTTTTTCACTCTCCTTACTTCAAACACAGGATTTTTGTCTTTCCATTTCAGGTCTTCTATGTACTTGAAAACCATTTTATAATTTCTTCATACATTTTTAGATAGCTTTTATTATATTTATTCCTATGTATCTTCTAATTTTTCTTTATATAATACATGTTGTCTTTTAATTTTGCAAATGCTTATTGCTATTGATTTTTATATAAATTTTTAAATACAGGAGTCTTGCTGAACTCCTTTTATTCTAGTAATGTGTTTGTAGAGTCCCTTAGATTTTTTAATATAAACCTAATATCATCTTCAGATAATGAGAGTTTTGCCCCTTTACCCCCAATTATTCAACTAGTTTTTTTTTTTCTCTTATAACATTGGCTAGGACATTCAGGATATTGTAAATAGTCTTAGTCTTCACACTAAAAGGAATACCTCTAACACTTTATCATTAAATTTTTGTAAAGAGTAAACAGTCCCTCCTATTATATTTAAGTTTTTTAAAACTGTTGAAAGTTAATTTGTTTTGCAAAAGAGAGAGAGAGAGAGTCTTAGTGAACATCTTTTTCAAAAAAGAAAAGCTGGCTTTTTCAGCCTTTCTGTAAAAAAAGGAAAGAAATGTAGAACATAGACTAGTGATGCTATTTAAAACTTAAGTGAAAAAAAAAGGTTTATGTTTCATGGAATAAAGGACTCTTGCACAACACGTTTTCATACTTTGAAGCATCTTCTGTTCTTTGAACATTTTCTCTTGAAGTTTTAATACATACTTCATTATTTCTTCTAGCTTTGACATTTTTTCAACATCTCCAACTTCTGCCACATCATGAGGAGCTTAACGTGTTTAAATGTCCATTTAAGACTCTGTCTTCTTTATTATTTCTTACTTTAGAGAATTTTATCAATTTTTTATGAAAAAGATGCAGGCTGTTGTTTTAAATAGCTGGTGGTGAACAAGTCTACCCACCTGTGAACTGATGTACTTGCCCTTGTTTCTTGTATTCTGTGCCTTACCACTGGGTTTACTTTCCTTCTTGCCACAGTACTTCTTTCAGTGAGGATAAGTGGGCCTTTATTGAAAAATATCTTTATTTCACTGCTATTATCGAAACAGAGTTTTATAGGTAATTGAATTATTCTAAGGTGATGTTTTGTCTCTTTAGCATTTTGAACGTATTGTCCCTTTGATATTTTTGTTTATGAGGGGGATCCTAATTGTTTATCCTTTGTAGGTAATCTGTATTTTCTGTAATTCTTCTGAAAGTTTTAAAGATTTTTCTTTTTTACACTTAAGTCTTTAATTCATTCAGAATTAATTTTTGTGTATAATATGAGATAGAATTTTATTTTCTTCTGTATGAATACTCAGTTTTCCCAGTGCTATTTATTTTATACAGTCCTCCTTTTTCCTCAATGGACCTGCAATGAAACCTGTATTTTTAAGCAAATTCCACATCTGAGTGGACTGTCCTGCAGGCTTCCAATTCTGATCCATTGATCAATTTATCTCAAACTCAGCTATTATGCCTTTGTAATAAATATTGATATCTGATTGGGCAAGTATTCCAGGTTATTCTTGTCCCTGTAATTGCCTGTATACATTTTAGAATCAGACTGTCAAATTCTATCAGTAAATGTTGGAGTTTTGATTAATAACACATTTTATATAAATAGATCAATTTGAGGAGACTTCATATCGTCTGGTATTGAGTTTTACTGAGACTATCTCACTAAATAACTTTAAATTATTTTCTTTGTCTTTCAATAAAGTTTTATAATTTTATGCAAATAGATCCTATGCATCTTTTATTAGATTTATTCCTTTGTAACATGATTTTTTTCTTATTATAATTTCTTTTTAAAAATAGCTTTAATTGATGTTAATGTGTAGACATCTGCAGTAAATTTTTCTGTGCTTTTTCTATTCAAACATCTTGCTAAACTATATAATTTCTAATAAATTATCTATAGGTTATTTCGTTTCCCATGAAGGTAATAACTATCTGTTAAGAGAGTTACACAGTTTAAAAAAAAAGGGTAATATTCAGTTCTTTTTCTTACTTTGCTATACTGGTTAGGGACTACAATACAATGATGAATAGAAACTATAATAGTAGGTATCCTTGCTTTTTCTTGACCTTAAAGGGAATTCTTTTGACTCTTTTCTATCTCTGTGAATATGCTTTTAAGGTTAAGGTGGCTTCTATACTAAGTGTGCTGGTATTTTTTAGTGTATTAAATTCTATCAGATACTTTTTTTCTGTAGTTGTTAAGATGATCTTCTCATTTATTTATTTTTTAAAAGTTGTCAATATGGTGAATAACATTTAAAGATTTTCTAATGTAAAATCACCCTTGCATTTCTAGAACAAACCCAACCTGGCCATAATTTATAATCATTTTTTCTGTACTTGTAGATTTTATTTGCTAACATTTTCTTTAGGATTTTTGAGAGTGGCTCCATCTTACAGGTAGAATGGCCTGTAATTTTCTTTTCTCAGACTCTCTCTCTTTAGATTTGGTATCAAATTTACTGGACTCTTAGCATGAGCTGGGGAGTCTCTCCCCTTTTTTGTCCTCTGGTAGAATTCTTGTAATGCTATCTGAATCATCTGGGCTTGAGGTTCTTTTTGGTGGCGACACTTCTAAACTCTGTTACAGTTTCTTTATTAGTTATAAGACTGCTCAGGCTTTCTGTTTGTTTGTTTTTTTGAGCCAGCTTTATTGAATGATGTTTTTGTTAATAAAGTTTTAAAGTTTTCAGATTTATTGCATGATGTTGATAATAAACATTCTTTTCTTTCTATCACAATTGTGATTATGTCCCCATTTTCATTTGTACTACTTTTTATGCTTTCTTTTCTTTTTCTTGGTAATTTTCTCTAGAGGATTTTGGGGTCTTTTAAAAACCAACATTTCAGTTTTGGGCAATCTCTCATCTTTCACTGGGTTCTTTTGTCTGCACTGATCTGCAGTTTCACCTCTATATGATTAGGTCTGGATTCATTTCTGAATTTATTCTACTTAGAACTTGCAGTGTCCTTTAGTCTAAAGACTTGTGACTTTCTTCAATTTTGGATAATTAGCAGCTCGACCTCTTTGAATATACCTTCCTCACCATGCCCTGGATTATCTTCTGGAATTCCTTTTAGACATATTTCAGAGCCTTTTGACTTATCTTCCATGCTTCCTAACCACTCTTTCAGATTTTGTAGCATTTTGTCTTTTTCCTTATGTTATTTTTGAATTCCTTAGTAATATCTTCAGTAATGTTGTCTGTGTTCTATATAGAATGTGCTCTTTCTATTGAGTTTGTTTGTTTGGGCTTTTTGTGGGGGAGAGAGGTAATTAGGTTCATTTTTTTTTTTTAATGGAGGTACTGGGGATTGAACCCAGGACCTCATGCAAGCTAAACATGCACTTTACCACTGAGCTATACCCTCCACCCTTGAGTTTTAAAAATTAAATAATTTTTAATATTCAAATAATTCTTTTTTGTGTCTATCTGTCCTTGTTTTATTTCTTTGTTTCAAATTTCTTGTTCTTACAAACATCACATTTCTCTCTCAGAGTATTGTAAATATTCTTATTTTAAAGTCTTTGAACATTTTTCTATTTAAACTTCCACAGAATTCTGGAGTTTGGACTGCCCACTTTCCCTGCATAGTGGCCTCTCTTTCCCAGTCAATGTGAGAGGTGGGCAGTTGTCTCCAGTCTACACCTAAGACTTCTGATCCAAAAAACAAAGATTTTTGGTCCAGAGCCAGGTCTGGCATCTTGGAAGCTTTCCCTGGAGGGCCAGTGTGCTGCATGGCTCAGGCCATGAGGCTGCATATACGTACCCCCGGCTCTCTGGATACATGGCTCAGGCCATGAGGCTGCATATACATACCCCCGGCTCTCTAGAGTTCATGCTCTCCATGAACTATAGGCACCCTCAGCAGCTTTGCTCAGCCTGCTTTTCGTGGAGGTGGAGCTTCAGCCAAGTTTCTTTTCTCAAGCAGGAATCTTGTCTTTGTCTGTGCCACACAGAAGTTCATTCAAACCATCTATCACCATAGGGCCCAATTTCCTTGTTACCTCCTTTTTCTCCACACCCAGCAGACCTTTGGGTTTAGTTCTGCTCACCTTCTTGCATTTCTGTTCCTTTTCTAATCTTGAAGTTATGAGATTTCCAGCTCATCTCTTGAGTCAGAAATGTCTGGGTCAGACCTATAACCAGAGTTAGGTTGGCTTCCCCTTTACACGATGACATTTAGTTTGTGTGTCCTACGTAAGTGTGCATTGTGTCCCCCAAAGACTCTCTGTGGAGCCACAACCTTTTCTTTAGAAACAATGGTCCCTTCTGAGCTATGTTTCCAGGGATTTCCTTTCTCATGACCTATAATTCAAATAGTTAACATGAAAACAGCACATCCAGTGGGCTAGTTGAGGGAGCTACTGATATGTACTGGGTTTGTAGCCCTTGGGAAACATTTTGCTATATTTATTATATAACCTTTATTATATATTATATAACCTTTATTTTCTAATCTGGAACTTTTTAGGACAGTTAGAAAACTGTCCTAAACAGCATGTTATCCATGACATCACTACAAAAGTAGTAAAGTGTCATGGAAATGTTTAGCTATACGTCTCACATAGATGAAAACTTGGAAATATGTTCAACCAAGATACCCAGTCTGTGAAAGCTGAGCATTGTTTTAGGGAACCATCCTTTCATACATTCGTTCAGCCAGTATTTGCTGAGCAGCTGCTATGTACCAGGCACTGAGGTAGGCACAGTGAGGTGTGGGGGCCCAATATGGTTAGATCTCACACATGCTTTAATTTTCTTCTAATAGTGAGAGGTTAGCTTTGTTCAAATACACAACTGTAATGTCAATAATAGGCAGAAATAGACTCTGAAGAAAATAAGAAAGATTCAATATAGACTAAAAACTCTTAGTCACTTTGACACATCTGCTCTTTACACTAGTATTTTCTTGGTGTAAGTGACGACATATTTAGATGACTGGGCTGAATCAACAGATTAGATATTTTAAAACCTTTATTTTCACAGAAATTACTTGGCAAGCCCTGACTTTGTATTTCTGGATAGTGAGTGCAGAAATACAACTTCCTCTTCTCTCTATATTTAGTTTTGACTGTCAGTCTATCCTTATCCTCCTCAACTGGACTCTATTCTCTTGAAGGAGGTAAACCTCTTAAAGAAAGAAAAAAAGGGTTTGGTATATATGCCAGATCCTTGCTAGTTCTGTACTTCCTAGTTTTCTAACTCTGACCTTCACTTGACCGCAGGTTTACCTGGATAACAAGAGCTGTGATCCAGTTAGCCCATCAGTCCTATAGCCAGATAGACAGTACTACAGTACAGAAGGAACAAGAAACTAACCAAGCCAAGTGTTCTATGGCTTTGATTTATTGATTGCATATCATATTGACAACCATAAGGATTGCTGCTAAATACTACTGTCATCAAGGCTTGGAAAATCCTCTCCAGTGATTGTTCAACCCCTGAACTGAGGAACCAGCCATTTTTCTGCTAAGCATTTAATGACATTCTTGTAATATTTTCTTTTCCTTCAGTCTTCCCGTTCCAAATGTACTTTTTTTCCTCTTCTTTTTTGGCCTTCATCTGCCCTTTCCAGATTGCTTTGTACAAAGGACTGCTTGTTTCCAGCTAGGCTGCCTTTCCTTAAGGATAAATGTCCACAGGCAAATCTGAGCTGTGCCAGCCTTTCGGGCTTGCAGTGTGGCCAAGGAAGGGGTGGGGTAGAGAACAAAGGGCGGGAGGGAGTAGGAAACTTTGTGCCTTGTCAGATGCCTGCCTGGTTTGCTTTTGATTCCCATCACCTAGGCTGGTCTGTGGGCTAGGCCAGGCTTCACATGCAGTCATGATCATTACAGCAGCCGCTTCATCCCAGCCTGGGCCACTGCTTTCAGGCATGGGAGGCTGAGGAAGGAAGCAGTTAAGAAGTCAGGGTGCTTAGAGAGTTCTAAGTTGAGCCTTCCAAGGGAGCTTTTAGAACTTGTTGGCTTCCCCTTTTGGGTGTAGAAAATAAATAGATAGGAATCCAGTAGAAAAGACTGTTTTAGTGCCCCAGGCTTATAGAATGATGATGGTATTTTTTAAATTGAGGTATTTACAATGTTATATTAGTTTCTGGTGTACAGCAAAGTGACTCAGGAATATATATATATATATATATATATATGTTCTTTTTCAGATTCTTTTCCATTATAGGTTATTATAAGATATTGAATGTAGTTCCCTGTGCTATACAGTAGGTCATTGTTGTTTATCTATCTTATATATAGTAGTGTGTATCTGCTAATTCCAAACTCCTAATTTATCCTTTCCCCTTTGGCAACTGTAAGTTTATTTTCTATGTCTGTGAATCTGTTTCTGTTTTGTAAGTAAGTTCATTTGTATCATTTTTTAGATTCCGCATATAAATGATATCATATGATATTTGCTTTTCTCTGTCTGACTTACTTCATTTAGTATGACAATCTCTAGGTCCATCCATGTTGCTGCAAATGGCATGATTTCATTCCTTTTTATGGCTGAGTAGTATTCCATTGTATTCCATATATATTACATCTTCTTTATTCATTAAAAATTATGGTGACATTTTTTTTTAACATTTACTAAGCTCTCGTCACTGTTCTAAACATGTTACATCTACAATGTAATGCAGTGAATCTTCATGACAATCCTGGAGTTCAGGTTCTGTTATTGTCCTCATCTTGCAGATAGAAGAAGCCTAGAATGTAAAGTGTTTCCGAAACAGCTAGTAAATAGACACAAACCCAAGCAGTCTGGTTCTGTAATACTTTTAAATAAAAAAAAAGTGTCATTATTTATATTCTCTATTGCTTCTGTTGAAATGATGTTATTGTTTCAACTTGTTAGTGCTACTAGATTATTTCTTGAGAAATTAGTGTCCCCAATATCCCTGCTTATATAGAAAAAAAACACTTTCAAATGAATGGGAGGGATTGTTAGTGCTAGAATGAAATGAAAAAAAAAATTTACTGACAAATCTCAACACCTGGAAGTAAATTGTTATCTTCACTGGGGTTTCCTAATTGTTATCACTTGTTTCTTCTTTCTCAGCAAACCTTGAAGCAAAAATGGGTGGAGTTCAGATCTCTGCATTTACAGGAACAGCGCCTGCTTCATGGTAAATGTGATTTCCTGTTCAGAAACCACACTTACATCTCATCATTTCAGTATTTCTGCTTCTAAATTGTTTTAAGATTATCATCATTACAAGAAAAAACTGTCTAGCATGGATCAAGAATAGTAGTCTGTATTTCTTTTGCGTGGCCTCTGGAGTGACCAGTGCATTTGGAGGAGGGACAAGTCAACTCACACCCCCTCCTCCACACACATAACAAGTATGCACATGAAAACATGCATGCAAGCGCATGCATGCACACGCTCGCAAGAGGCACCTGGAGGTTTTAGAAGACAATAAGAATGATTGTCTGTTTTCCCTACTGCTTCAGCAGATGAATTCAATTCCTGAGAACGTCCATGTCTCAGGCTGCATAGTTCTTAGAAACTCTTGAAGCTGGAATGATAGCCTGCTTCTTGGATAGAACTCCTATTATTTGTTTAAATTGTGTAAATTACATTAAGGCACAGAAATCCCTCTTTATGGCCTCCAAATCCAAGACAGAAATGTGAAGGATCATTGTAACAGTAAATGAATAGCTCTTGCCCTTGTGTGTATTCTGAAGAGAAGGGTTGAGTTTAAAATTTGTTGACTTGGCATTTGCTATGTGACAGGTGTAACCTGAGGAATGAACTTACATATACAAATAATTCACTGAAACCACTAGCTATGTGGGTGTGAAATACAGGCTATGTCTTCTTCAGATAATACTGAGCTGATGTCTCTATTTATAACCTAGTATATCTATTTGTTAAAAGTGATCATCTGTTTCTGGACAAAAAGATACATTTAATTCTTAATTAGGCACTAATTTATGGCTTAGAGGTTTGTGTTGAAGATCTGTTTTTTTTTTCAGAAAATGAAACACATGAGTTACTTCTCTTTTTGTGTTTCTAAATATTCTTAAATTTTAATAATCTTAAAATTTATAACAGATTTGGGGGGGGGCCTGAAATTTGCTAGCAAGACAGAAGCACAAAAATTTGGCCACTTCCTGGATTTCTGTAGACTTGAGAGTGTTTGGGATCTCCTTCCTTCTGGAGCATTCTGGAGTGAAGCTGGGGTTTGGTCTAAGTATATAGGCAGTTCTGCTGTTTTATGGGAGTGACCTTGTATAGACAAGTTCCATAGTTTAGGATCAAGGAGATTGACTTCTCATACGGCCATTGTTATACACATTTTTTGAGAGATTAAAGGAGTTCTTTAGTTTACTTTTTCTAGACCTATAATAAATATACAGGGCATGAGATTCTAGAAGCCAGTTGCTCTCCAATCAAAAGGAATTCATTAGTTTGTTGCAAGATGAAATAAAGTAGGTTGTGTTAACAAAAAGGAAAGCATTATGACTAGTCACCGCAGGGCTGGCCCTACTCAACCTTGCAGATCAAATGGAAAAATAAACAGTCTGTTTTTATATTGTCAACCAAGGGCAAAGGAGAGCAGCAGTAGAGAATATCAGCCCAAAATAAAACCATTTCTGAGTGTGTAATGTTCTATTACTTTTCCTGAAGCAAGGTCACCTTCTAATGATGCTTTCCTCAGGCTAGTATTACAAATAATCTCCTTTCTTTGAGCAGCATACCAGCTAACTCGGGTAGTACAGAAGTAAGTGGGATATGAACAGGCTGTTGGTGTGAGATTAAAATTTGAGTTTGGGGAGCCCAGATGTAGGTTGTAAAAGGCTGATGAAGAAATTCAGCTAAGCAGATAAAATTCAATTTCTTCAAATTAATTATTACTTATTTTGGACAGGGATGTTTTCTGGGTACCTTATCACTTCAAAGCATTTAAATATTAAAGTATTCTAAGAATAAACTTGGAATATTGAGGCTGGAAGATTTCTTCATGTTTTGAACATTTTTGAATTTTCTAATAATCATCCTGTAGATGCAGGTTTTATAACTACATTTCCCATATACTTCTAACAATGTTATAATAATTTTATATTTATTAAAAATAAAAGACAGTAACAAAAATTAGAAGAACTAAAATAGAGAAAATCCATAAAATATCATTTCCCCAACTATATGCTTTGGAACCCATTTCTCTGAGAATTTTAAGGAAAGGTGGCAGGGTCACTTCAATTTAAGAAATGATCCTTTTGGAAATTCACAAGTCACACTGGCATACTGTTAGATGAGTTGAACTGCTCTCATATGAAGACTCTTGTTTAAATTGATTTAATCTAGTATTACCATTTTTGTGACTGTAGACCCTTTTACATGGAAAGTAGTCCATGAACAAATAGTTTGAAAAATCCTACTATAAGGTTTATCAAATGGTCTCATAAACAGTCACTTAATCGTGCAAGTCAAAGCTTAGTGAAAAGTATTATTCACTCTCTTTCCTGTGCCCTTTAGAGGGAAATCTTGGTATATTTACTTGTAGGGAGTGATGTTCAGATCCATTTCACAACAGACTTTGTTTTCTGCATTCCAGGTGATGCAGCCAACTGCCCAAGTTTGGAAAACATGGACATAGATGAATCAACTTTGTTTGGAACCCTGCCTGGTCCAGCCCTCCTGGACCGAAATCGATTATCCAGCGAGAGCAGCTGTAAGAGCTGGCTGAGTTCCATGACGATAGACAGTGAGGATGGCTACCAGACATGTGTGTCTGAAGACTCGAGCAGGGAAGCATTCAGCCGGCAGACAAGCACAGATGATGAGTGTTTTGTCCCCAAGGATGGGGACGATTTTATGAAGAGGTCTTCTTCAAGGAGGAACCGGAGCATTAGTTCTGTCAGCAGTGGGTCTATGTCTCCCTTGTGGGAAGGCAACTTCTCAAGCATGTTTGGGACCCTGCCCAGGAAAAGCAGAAGGGGAAGTGTCCGGAAACAACTCTTGAAATTCATCCCTGGCCTTCACCGAGCTGTGGAAGAGGAAGAGAGTCGCTTTTAATGTGTTGTGGTGCCCTTTCATATTAGCTTATTTCGTAAATATCTTTAGATTCGTTTAAATCTGCTCCACCCAGCTTGGTGGGAAAGTGCAGATGGATTGCAAAACTGACATCCCATTTCATGGCTACAGTGACTTTTATTTAAATTTTTGTATCATTATTTTTGCTTCTTAAATCATTTTTTTAACCAGAACAGCTCAAGTTCTAAGTAGGAAGTAGGGAAATTAAGTAATACATCAGAAAATATAATAAATTAATATAAGTGCTTGCTCATTTCAGTGCTGCCTGTGAAGGCAAGAGTAGTATTTATTTTCTATATTTTTCATGTGAAAAGTTGAGAACTTTTTGGAGTCGAGTGTGAATAAGAAAGTGACAAAATATAATTATTTGGAATACCTTCTGTAGGTTAATTGGTAGGTTATAAAACTGCTTAAGCTCAGTTGCCTTTGGGAAGGCTTAATAGTAGGTAATTTTGAATGTTTCTGTTCAACTCTATGAAAGATTATAAACAAAGATGATCGTCAGCCATTTTGACATTCACAGTGACAATAAAGCAGGAAATAGAAGATTTCATACGGAGGTTTAAATTTTACGAGATCCATGGAAAGATGTTATCTAAGATGGGTGCTGAGGAAGATTATAATGTCTTTTTCATAGGCAGCCTAAACAAAATGAGTGGGAGTGTCATTCTTACCTGATTCAGCTTTTCTTCTGCCTAAATGCTAATGACAAATCTGGAACTCTCAAGATCCTACAGCTTTGTAATTTTTCTCTCAAACCAATGTCTAAAATTTGAAAAATTAGAGTCAGGAAATGGATTTTTCCCCAGCAGATTTTTTTCACATTACTCTTCACTTTATATTATATATTCCAAATAGTTATTGCCTCAGCATGCTTTTGTCTATTAGTTATGTTAGTGTCACATTACTTTTCTTTTAATCACATTTTTACTCAGTACCTATTAAAGTCCATGATTTCTCTGTTCTGGTGATACAGCTGCTCATTACCTATATTCTAGAGTAGATAACATGGACAATGCAATTAATAGTCCTCACTGATTTTAAACTCTGTGCATGTGCGTGTGCGTGTGTCAAATAGAGACATTTGATAGTTGACTTTCAGTACAGCTGCTACACCCAAACTAAGCAAAGAGTGAGTCATTTTGAGGGAAAAAAAAAGTTAAGGGTAAGAAAGCTTTTAGGGTAAGTAATAAGAAATAAAATTAAATACAAAGAGATTTCTAATTGGGACTTGCTTTCTATTCATTCTTTGAACTCAAAAGCATCCAGTGGGCTCTGCTTGAGAACCATTCATGTAAAAGGCAGGGTTTTCACAGGAGCAATAGCAATCTTGTCTGTTATTTACTGAATGCATAGTAGGTTAAAGATGCTTTGCATGTGATCCCAGAAGTAACCCGGTAGATAGATGTTAGGCATACAGATAAGGAAGCAGGAATTCAGAGAAGCCCCTGTGATCAGAGGCAGGGACGTTGGAAGTCAGTTCTTCCCACCCTGGCCTATCTTCTTAGTTTCTCTAGATATTTGATACCCTTTTGCTGGTTCTGTGTAGTTATCACCACAGGACTACCCCCGTCCCAATCCCAGGAATATTTTAAATGTGCGACTGTAGTTACTACATGGATAAGGATATTGTAAATAGGATAAAAAGTTCCTACTTGGTAAATAGGAAAACAAACACACATTGAGGGTGACTTTTTCTCCTGGCCTCCACATGCAAGTTTTCAAATGTAAGCACATTAATAACTGCATGGTTAGCGATACATTTATTTTCAACAAGAGTTTGCAAATCAATTGTAAATCAATAACAATTGCTATTGCTCATTTCTCATCATAGCCTAGAATTATGTTAAAGATCTGCTTACATGAATGCAGCATTTTCTGTTAACCCTATTTTTGCCAAGTTCAGGGGAAAGAAATAACATATTTATTTGAGGAAAGATGACTTTAAAGCCTTCTACAGTGTGAACAATGTTTCAAGAACTACCACAGTTCACCTGGAAAACCAGTATATCATTTGCTTTTCTGTGACTTTAAGTGTTAAATATAATGTTATACTTCTTTTTTACAGTAAACATCCAACCCAAAATGGTACTGGGAAGAAGCACAGGAAGTTTCACTGTAGTCTGTGATAAGAAGAATTAAGAATCAAGAGTTCAGTATGTTCTGAAAAAAACTAGTAAAGCACTTTTTAACCCAAGTACAGGAAGGAAGGGTATGTCATGTTCTGTGTGTTCACAAGTTGTAAGAAAACTGTTGTTTAGTGGAAATGTGGGTAAATTTCTCACAGCACAGTTTTTCAGACTGAGTCTGACCTCAGATGGGCTTTAGAAGATTTCATTTTGCTAATCTTCTGGTGCACAATGACCACAATGGCTCACTTTGATGAAATTTACTGGGAAAAGAAAAGTGAAGAGTTTTTTCTTTTAACCTTAAAGTTGTCAAATAAGTAATATTGGTGACTTTAATTAATTGGCAATTTGTTTTGAAAATGCTTTTTCTAGTATGGGATTGATTGATAAGCCAAATTTCAATCAACATATTGGGAGTTACTCTGTCATGTGACTAAAGGAACACCACAATGTCAAATAGATTGGAGCTATATTTTTTCAAATGAATTTTTCTTTATCACTTTCTACTTTGCAGTTCCTTTATATCTTAGCTGCATGATACAAGCAGTATTAAAAATCCTAGTTTGAACTGAAGAAATCAAACTGGGACACAATTTTGTGTGTACTTACCATAAAGTATACAATATAAGCACAGTAGATAAATGTAACAACTGTATCAAACCCTTCAGATCACAAAATTATTGGTGCTTTATATCTATTTCCTTATAGAACTATAGGCAATAAAATGAAAATTTGATACTCTTCTGAAATAAAGAATGTTGTTTTTCAGTTCAGAACTTTCTGCTCTGTCTCTCTTTACCTACTTTAAATGAAATAGTTGTTTTTAAAAAGCAGATTTTAAAAATGTGGGGTGACCTCTTAACACCTAACTCTCTGAGGTTCTTAAAAATCAATGCCTACTTAATTGAGATTTGCACTTATATTAGCTTTCTGTTATTGTTTGACAAATTACTACAAACATGGAGACTTAAAACAAATTTATTATTTCAGAGATTTTGTGGGTCAAGAGTATGGGCAAAGCTTAGCTGGGTCTGCTCAGAGTTTCACAGAGCTGCAGTCATGTTGTCACCCACCCCACTGGGTTCTCACCTACCAGCTTAACTGGGGAAGGATTTCTTACCAAGCTCCTTTAGTTGTTGTCAGAAGCATTCCTTGTGGCCATAGGTTTCATGGCAGCTTGCTTATTAAAACTCAGCAACAGAGAGGAAGATATACTGCAAGCAAGACGGAGTCTTAATACATTGTAATCACTGACTGACATCCCAGCTCCTTTGCATATAATGTAACAATCATGGGAGTGGCATCCCAGCACCTCTGCCACATAGCAAAATACAGTTACAGGAGTGACATCCTAGCAACTGGACCATATGTGCATTAGACACAAGTCATGGGGCCCACCCACACTCAAGAAGGAGGGATTGCACAAAAGCATGAATGTCAGAAGGTGGGGCCCAGGGGCTACCTTAGAGTCTATTCACACCACTATTCAACAAGTTCACAAACGATAATATAAAGATACTGAGTTTTCTCTAAACTCCTTTGAGCAAAACAATTGTGAATGTTACCATTTTTAATTTTTATATAAAGAAATGGTAAGATGAAAGACTTTTGAAATTAAAGAACCTGGCCAGGATTGTATAACTAGCCAAAAATCTGAGTAGAAAATCATATCCAAGTTTATTATTGACCTCCCAACTTAGTCTGCAAGTACATGAAATGATAGATTTTTAAAAAACATACAGTAGTGAACCAGTTACTTGATTTCACAGTCTGCTCAGGGAATCTGAATGTAGTTAAGTGATTTCAGTGATTGACATGCTGGACTCTATCACTTCTATGTGGGTGCATATTTGTGAGCAGAAGACAGGGATTCCACAGAAAAACAAAACAAAACTTCCACAATCAAAATTACAAAGCACAAAAGGAAATGATCGACCATGAGCAAAAGTCAGGAGATTCCACAAATAGCAGAATTACCCGAACTTGAGAAAATAATACAGTTTGAAAGAATATAAAACATGTATATCTTAGGAACAGAGAATAAGTTGCACAACTTGATGAAGAACAACTACAAAAAGCCTACAGCCAATGCAAGAAACTGGATGCTTTTCCCCTCAGATCAGGTACAAAGCAAGCATGTCCTCACACCACTCTATTTACCACGGTACTGAAAGTCCTAGTAAGTGCACTAAGACAAGGAAAGGAAATAGAAGATATGCAAATGGGAAGGAAGACATTAAAACTGCCTTTGCTTTCGGATGATGTAATTGTCTATGTGGAAAATCCCCCCAAATCAATAACAGCAGAAAGTCTGAAACTAATAAGTGAGTATAGCAAGGTCACAGGATACAAATTACTATGAAAAAGTCAACTGATTCCTTATATACCAGAAATGAACAACTGGGATTTGAAAATCAACAAACAGTACCATTTACAATAGTACCAAAAAATGAAATACTTGAGTATAAACCTGACAAAATATGTATCTTTTGATCAGAATCTATATGTGGAAAACTAAAACTCTAATGAAGGAAATCCAAGAAAATCTAAATAGCTATTCTATGTTCATAGATTAGAAGACTGAACAGTGTCAAGATATTATTAGTTCTTCCTAACTTAATCTATAGATTTAGTGAAATCCCAATCAACATTCCAGGCAGCTATTTTGTAGTCAGTGACAAACTGATTCTGAAGTTTATATGAAGAAGCAAAAGACCTAGAATAACCAATGTGATACTGAAGAGGAAGAAGAAATAAAAGAAGAAGGAGGACGAGGAGGAAAAGAAGAAAATTGAAGGAATCACAATACCCAGTTTCTAGATTTTCTATAAATCTACAATAATTAAGACAGCTTGGTATTGGCAAAAGAATAGACATATAGATTAATAAAACAGATTAGAGTGCCCAGAAATAGACCCACACAAATATAGTCACTGATCTTTGACAAAAAAGTAAATGAAGTTAAATGGAGAAAGGACAGTATTTTCAAAAATGGTTCTTGAACAATTGGACATCCATATGCAAGACTTTACACATCTCACAAAATTAACTCAAAATGAGTCATAGACCTACATGAAACATAAAACTATAAAACTTCTAGACAATAACATAGGCGAACATCTAGATGTCTTTGGATTTAATGATAAATTTTTTAGATACACCAAAAGGATGATTCATGAAAGGAAAAGTTGATTAAAATTAAAAACTTCTGCTTTGGGAAAGACACTGTTAAGAGAATTTTTAAAAAAGTTAAAGACTGGGAGAAAATATTAGCAAAACATATATTTTTTAAATGTTATTTTTTATTGAAGTATAGCTGATTTACAGTGTTAGTTTCAGGTGTACAGCAAAGTAATTTAGTTATACATATACATACTATATATAAAATTATATATAATTTATGTATTATATAAAATACATAATCTTTTCAGATTCTTTTCCATTATAGCTTATTCTAAGAAATTGAATATAGTTCTCTGTGTTATACAATAGGTCCTTGATGCAAAATATGTATTTGAAAAAGGACTTGCGTCCAAAATATAAAAAGAACTTTTAAAATTCAAAAATAAGAATGCAAACAACCCAATTAAAGCATGTTCAAAAGATCTGAACATACACATCTCCAAAGATGATAGATAGATAACAAATAAGTGCATTAAAAGAGCTCAGTATCATTTGTCATTTCGGATTTGCAAATTAAAATAGCAATAAGATACTACTACATGGCTATTAGGATGACTAAAATCCAAATAACTGAAAGTACCAGTTGCTGGCAAGGATATGGAGCAATAGGAATGCTCCTTCATTGCTGATGGGAATGCAGGCTAGTACAGTACCTTCGGAAAACAGTTCGGCGGTTTTTCACAAAACTGAACATAGTCTAACATGTGATCCAACAACTGCACTTTTAGGTAAAGGCATACCTTGTTTAACTGCACCTCATTTTATTATGCTTCACAGATACTGCATTTTTTGCAAATTGAAGGTTCATTCTTTTACAAATGGAAGGCAACCTCACATTGAGCAAGTCTATCAGCACAGTTTTTCTAACTGCATTTGCTCACTTCATGTTTCTGTGTCACATTTTGATAATTCTTGCAATATTTAAAAATTTTTCATTATTATTGTATTAGTTATGGTGATTTGTGATCTGTGATCTTTGATGTTACTACTGTAATTGTTTTGAGGTGCCACAAACTGTGGCCACATAAGAAGGTGATCTTAACTGATAAATTCTATGTGTGTTCTGTTTGCTCCACCAACTGACTGTTCCCTCATCTCCTCTCTTTTCTTCAGGACTCCCTATTCTCTGAGACACAACAATATTGAAATTAGGCCAGTTAATTACCCTATAATGACCTCTAAATTTTCAAGTGAAAGGAAGGGTTGCACATCTTTCACTTTAAATCAAAAGCTAGAAATGATAAAGCTTAATGAGGAAGGCATGTCGAAAGTTGAAAAAGGTCAAATTTAGGTCTCTTGTGCCAAGTGGTTAGCCAAATTGTGAATGCAAAGGAAAAGCTGTTGAAGGAAATTAAAAATGCTACTCCAGTGAACAGAAAGCAAGACAGCCTTGTTGCTGATATGGAGAAAGTTTGAGTGGTCTGGAGAGAAGATCAAACCAGCCACAACATTCCCTTAAGCCAAAGACTAATGCAGAGCTAGGCCCTAGCTTTCTTCAATTCTATTAAGGCTGAGAGAGGTGACGAAGCCGCAGAAGAAAAGTTTGAAACTAGCAAATGTTGGTTCATGAGGTTTAAGGAAAGAAACCATCTCCATAACTTAAAAGTACAAGGTGAGGCAGCCAGTGCCAATGTAGAAGCTGCAGCAAGTTATTCAGATCTACCTAAGATAATTAATGAAGGTGCCTACACTAAGCACAACAGACTTTCAATGTAGACACACTTTTATTGGAACAAGATACCATCTAGGACTTTTTGTATCATAAAGAAGAGAAGTCAATACCTGGCTTCAAAGAATCAAAGGACAGGCTGACTTTCTTATTAGGGGCTAATGTAACTACTGGCTTTAAGTTGAAGCCAATGCTCATTTGCATTTGCCATTCTGAAAATCCTAGGGACCCTCAGAATTATGCTAAATCTATTCTGCCTGTGCTCTATCACTGTATCAAAAAAGCTTGCATGACAGCACATTTGTTTACAACACAGTTTACTGAATATTTTAAGCCCACTGTTAAGACCTACAGCTCAGACAAAAAAAAAAAATTCTTTTCAAAATAGTACTGCTCACTGACAATATACTAGATCACCCAACTGATCTGACGGAGGTGTGCAAGAGATTCATGCTGTTTTCATGCCCCTGCTAACGCAGCCATTCTACAGCTCACGGATCAAGGAGTAATTTCGACTTCTAAGTCGTATCATCTAAGAGATACATTTTGTAAGGCTGAAGCTGCCATAGATAGTTATTCCACTGACGAATCTGGGCAAAATAAATAGAAAATCCTTCTGGAAAAGATTCATCATTTTAGATGCCATTAAGAACATTTGTAATTCACGGGAAGAGGCCAAAATATGAACTTTAACAGGAATTTGGAAGAAGTTAATTCCAACCCTCATGGATGACTTTTTGGGATTCAAAACTTCAGTGGAGGAAATCACTGCAAAATTGGTTTCTAGCAAGGAAACTAGAGTTAGAAGTGAAGCCTGACGATGTGACTAAATTATTGCAGTCTCATGAGAAGACTTTAACTGAAGAGGAGTTGTTTCTAATGGATGAGCCAAGAAAGCGGTTTCTTAAAATGGAAAACACT